GTGGGGGTGGGGGGGGGGGTTCGGGGTGAGATCTTAGTTCTTATGGTAATTGGGTTTTGAGGGGTGTGGTTGGTGGCGGATCGAGTATTGGGAGCGGTAGTCGTTGGGAGTATGTGCGCGAAGCGTGTAGGTCGGTGTTGGAGAGTGGATCTATGGAAGTAGTGTGTGAGGTTSGATGTATTAGGACGGGGGCTGGCGGTCTGGGAGGGGAGGGGTATGCGAATCCTATTATTACCGTATAGCTTGGCTACTGTCTGAAGTTGCGTGCCTACTTTCTAAATCTCGTGTTCGAAGTGCATCGTAATAATTATTGTAATAATAATATTTGTCCTTGGTGTGAGTCGTATCTGTTGTGCGTGTCGTAAATCRTGGCTGTAGATTTTCTACTTTTCCTATTCCGTGTATGGTCGACAACTCATGATGATAGCTTGAATCTCTTTGTTGTCGTTTTTTCCTTGTGTCGATTTCGCTGCTCCGTTCATGTGCATTTCGCCTTGCGCTGGTGCTGTCACTCGATCTCGTAAGTTGGATGACGAGTTCTCACCTTTGTTGTTGGGGAGGGCCGTTCTGACCTTCCGTTGTGAATGATGGCTCGCCTCTCCGTAGTGTCGGCCGTTCTTCAAAGTTCTCCCTTCCTCTTCTCTCTTGTTTTCCTTCTTGTGTCGTGGCTTTCACATCTCTTTCTCGTTTATCTCCTCCTTTTGGTATGTCTTCTCCTTCCACTTCTCCTCTTCCCTTCTTCACACTCTGTCTCTTCCTTACTTTAGGGATACAACCTCCTCCCGTTTTCACACTCTGTCGCTTCCTTACACTGCTGTTGTCCTTTCCTAAACTTAGCTGCACCCCGTTTCTCTTGATGCTCTCGTAGACCTCGTTGCCCCTCCCTTCCTTCCTGTTCCTCCCCCTTCTTTTCCCGTCTCTTCCCGTCGTTTCCTGTCGTTTGCTAGATTGCGAGTAGTCTCCCGCCTCCCTCGTTGTTTTTTTATTCTCCTCTTTTGCTGGAGCTTCCCGTGAGTTCGCGTTCCTCGTCGGGTAGTGACTTCCTTTGGGGGATCTTGTCTTTCGCAATGATGGTGATGGTGTTCTTGCGCGTCCTTGCTCGCGTTCGCGACTACACTCTTCCTGAGTTCGAAAACTCGGTTTCCCGCTCGGTGGGGGGTGGACCCCGTCGCGGGGCGTCGTGTCGAATCGAGTATCGGGCGCAAAAAAAATTCGCTGCGTTAGCGCTAACCTGGGGCGCTAGCGCGAAAAAGTCTCATGATCATCATAGTCATGGACCATGCTCTTCTTTTCATACAAAGTGTTCTATGATCATGGTAAAAGGGCCGGTTCAGAGAGGTGGTACAGGGCGAAGAGAGAGACTTGACCATCTCTCTTGACAACTTGGCACAACAACAGGACTGGGCGAATCTGAGGGAGATAAAGGGGGGGGGGGGGGGGGGGGGGGGGGGGGGGGGGGGGGGGGGGGGGGGGGGGGGGGGGGGGGGGGAGGGAGAGAGAGAGAGAGAGAGAGAGATCAGGGCAGTGCTTGAAAAGTGATATGCCGAGGATGATCTATGGCCACTCGAAGTCATCAAAACACAATTTGTACGGATTAAATCTCACTCAGTGTCCACTGTGCACATGTGGGTTACACCTAGGTATCACCCTTCTGCCTTCGCTGCTTAGGTAGTGCAGCGTTTGTCTCATTCTCACAGCATTTGTGCATCGAAGATCAGTGACCAGTGCTGAGCATATGTGTTGTGTAACCATGGTTGGGTGAAAGTCTCTTTCGTTCCCTTTCCCACTTTGCCCTTCGCTCCTCTCTCCCCCCTCCCCTCTCCTTCTGGCCCCCCTCGTTGTCCCCTTGATTCTTGTCTTCCACTGCCGTCCTCCCCTCCCCTCCTTTTCTTTTTTCTGTTTTTTTGCCATAAAAAAATGGACCATTTTTCAATTTGGACCGTGCTAATCTTCTCTGTATCGTTCCAATTTTAATGGATGTCCTGAAGGACCATCCCCTCCCCTCCTGTTCCTTTGTCTTCCGTTTGATTCCTGTCCTCCGCTGCCCTCCTTCCCTCCCCTTCAATCCCTCCCTTTCCCTGCCCGTCCCTGCCCTTCCCCTCCACTTCCTTTCCCTTTTGTTCACTTCCTCCACGTCACTTCACAAGTTCACATTCTTCCCTTCTCTTCCCCCTTGTCCTTTTCACTTTGGCGCAACTGGCGCTGTCATTCTTGCCCGCTCTTCATGATGACCCCAGGGTGAGTAAGCGGAATGATCTTGCCTCTCTTCTTTTTCTTCCTTGTCGTTTGTTTCCCTTCTTGGTTTCGCTCTGCTCTCCTCCCTCTGGTCGTCCTTTTCGTCCTTTCTCTTTCTCAGCTTCCCTTCCTTCCTTGTTCCCTTCTCCTTCTTATTCTCTCCCTACCCTCATCATTCCCGTCTCGTTGTTTTCCCTTTTGGGTCTTGTCACATGTGTTGAGTTGTCTCTCCATGCTTTTCCTCCTCTCACCTTCCGTTTCTCCCTCGGCCTGTTCACTCTCATGCGACACGCCCTAGGGCGTGGCGAGGCGTGGGTCGTGTTTGTTCTCTCGCGCCCTGTTCGTCACATTCGATTTGAAAATTCCCGTCTGCGCAAACACGCAGCACTTTCGCGCCTTGCTGCGCTAACCGTAGCCGCAATGACTTGCTGTTTCTGGTCACCTGTAGCCTCTCTCTGTCGAGGCTGTACCATACGTAGGACAGATTCGTAATTTTTTTTGGCTGAGGGCTAACCGAGAGACCTACCTGTCAGGGAAATTCGTGAGGGACATATCTGCAAATTCCGGAAAATACAGGCCCAGGACTAATTGAATTTCCTACTGCTACCCTAGCTGCGAATAGCAGGCCCGGCCTACCACTAGGACAGACAGGCCCTAAGGGCCTAAGCTGATAGACGGTTCTATAGCCTATAGCCGGGTAGGGAGAGGCCCTAGAGGCCGAAACAGAAATGGTACCAGTTGGTCAGTCAGTCCGGTCTAGGTCGAGTCTAGGCTAGTGTAGAACTACAGATAGTTTGGGTTCAGGGCTTTTGGCAGTTGGTACCGAGTACATCGCTGCTGCGCTACGCTTGAACCGGAAGTGGTGACGGCTCAGCGTGGAAGGAGACAGACATAGCCAGACCTTCAGAGCGCCGGCCGTAGCTGGGGCCTGCGCTGTACTTTGCCAGCACGCAGGGCTGTCAGAGGTCTGGGTTATCGAGGTCTGCTGGAGGCGGGAGAAGTTGGTGCCCTGCTGGACCCTCCTCCGGAGTGGGGTCACAGGGTTGTGGCGCTGCAGCCATAGCTGCAGCTTCCTCCTCAGAGGACATCTTGTCAGGATTTGGTGGCGCTGCTGCAGACTTCCACCCGGGAAGTCTTTCGACACTTCGTCAGATACTGTGGCGCTGGTCTTCTTCTTCATCCTCTGAGTGGCGCTTGGCCTCAGAGGCCTGTTTCAGGGTGGTGCTGCCCTCTGGAGGCAGTAATTGNGTGGCGCTGGTCTTCTTCTTCATCCTCTGAGTGGCGCTTGGCCTCAGAGGCCTGTTTCAGGGTGGTGCTGCCCTCTGGAGGCAGTAATTGGGTGGTGCTTGATGTTTCAGGGGCTCAGGGGTGTCACGAGTGCTTACTCAGGGTTGGGGAGTGAAGCGCTGCTCATTTCTGAGCAGCGCACTGTAGGTCTGAAGCTATTCTGACAATTTGAGACTCTGAGTTTAATAAACAGTGTAATACTGGGTTTGGACTATCATCGTTTCATTGTTTCTTGGATGTGATCTACTCGGCTTTCCTTTATGACTGGTTGTGAGGATTGAGTGGAGTGAATTGCACTTTCAGTGTACCCTGTCATATCGCATGGTCAAGTCTTCCGCTGTGTTTATCTCTCCCTGTGCGGTGTGATGCTCCTATCCTCTCCCCTTCCTTCTGTGTATGTATGGGCTTACCTGGGAGTTCATGTGAGCGAGTGTTGGTCTTCAGACAGCAGACAACCAGAATCATAATGTAGCGGTGCGGTCGCCTCATTCCGAGATCAAGTGTCTTGATTTGAGCGCCGTCCCTCGTCCCTCCTTTTGATTCCCCTGCACGGGTATTTTTCATCCCTTCATCCCCCTTAATTTCCTGTCCTCTTCCATTTTATTCTGTTGGATCTGTACCACTTTGTTCCCTTCTCTTTGGGTTCCCTTCTGTTCCCCTCCCTTCTCTGACCTTCTAAAAAGTGCATACTCCTTTTGTGGAACCCTTCTCTCAAAAGTTGAAAGCACGCTCAATTGAGTGGTTTAATCTCCCCATGGCTATTCTCTGCAGGATTTTGGGGCGGCCCTTTATGAAGGAGTTGCTGGATTGGTCTCCAACCCAATTGCAGGCGTTGAGCAAGATGGTGTTGTGGGTTGCCTGAAGGGATGTGGGAAGGGGATGGCAGGTGAGTGTACTGAAATGTGAACATTGGAATTGATCTAAGGAAATATCTCAACTCTTTAAGAAGAAATGAGATTGATGATTATCTACTCCAGGGCCTGCTGGAGTCCATTATCTTTTTAGTCCATCATATCTGCTTGAACCCCCACTGCTGATGACCCTCGCAGTATGTCCCAGTATTATACCTGGTGGCTGTGGATACTGTTGGTAAATGGCTTGGTTTCGGGGTAACTAGCAAACCCCCACGGAATGGTTGGGCTCTGCAAGTGGTTGTGAACCTTCACAGAATCTGTACAGTTTCCCTCATACTCAAACCTACCGAGGCCGATCCCCTTCTGAGTGATTTTGTCAAGTTAAGCCTCGTAAGTAAAGGAAGTGACTGTATACCTGTGCGGGATTTGCAGCCTCCCACATACACAGTGATCAGATGTGTCTCTTTGAACCATACCTGTGGTGCAGTGCTGCGGTGTGGTGCGCGGATCAACAATGAACACGCACCGCACACATCAGTAGCATATGCGCTTAGCTCCGTTTGGTGCGATTCCTGGTGTGCCACTTTTTCACCGATATATTTGTGTGTGTGTGTGTGTGTGTGTGTGTGTGTGTGTGTGTGTGTGTGTGTGTGTGTGTGTGTGTGAGTGGATGTGTGG